ATGCTAACGGAGTTCCCCACATAAAGAGATTAACAGTTTCGTGGGACCCATTTTCTTGATGCCCTCCTCGCTTTGGCGGGGCCCCGCTGGAAGGGGGGAGGGCTACGAAACCTGGCGAAGAGTAATGCTTTCCGCGACCCTCCTCGCTCAGGCGGGGCCTCCCTGGAGGGGTGGGAGGGGCACGAAACCATGTAATTAGTATGGTATTCCGATACCATCCTCGCTCAGGCGGGGCTCCCTGGAGGGGTGGGAGGGGCACGAAACCATGTAAATAGTATGGTATTCCGATACCCTCCTCGCTCAGGCGGGGCCTCCCTGGAGGGGTGGGAGGGGCACGAAACCATGTAAATAGTATGGTATTCCGATACCCTCCTCGCTCAGGCGGGGCCTCCCTGGAGGGGTGGGAGGGGCACGAAACCATGGAAATAGTATGGTATTCCGATTCCCTCCTCGCTCAGGCGGGGCCTCCCGATGGGGGGTGGGAGGGCACGATGAACCATGTAAATAGGATGGTATTCCGATACCCTCCTCGCTCAGGCGGGGCCTCCCTGGAGGGGTGGGAGGGGCACGAAACCATGTAAATAGTATGGTATTCCGATACCCTCCTCGCTCAGGCGGGGCCTCCCTGGAGGGGCTCAGGCGGGGCCTCCCTGAGGGGCACGAAACCATGTAAATAGTATGGTATTCCGATACCCTCCTCGCTCAGGCGGGGCCTCCCTGGAGGGGTGGGAGGGGCACGAAACCATGTAAATAGTATGGTATTCCGATACCCTCCTCGCTCAGGCGGGGCCTCCCTGGAGGGGTGGGAGGGGCACGAAACCATGTAAATAGTATGGTATTCCGATACCCTCCTCGCTCAGGCGGGGCCTCCCTGGAGGGGTGGGAGGGGCACGAAACCATGTAAATAGTATGGTATTCCGATACCCTCCTCGCTCAGGCGGGGCCTCCCTGGAGGGGTGGGAGGGGCACGAAACCATGTAAATAGTATGGTATTCCGATACCCTCCTCGCTCAGGCGGGGCCTCCCTGGAGGGGTGGGAGGGGCACGAAACCATGTAAATAGTATGGTATTCCGATACCCTCCTCGCTCAGGCGGGGCCTCCCTGGAGGGGTGGGAGGGGCACGAAACCATGTAAATAGTATGGTATTCCGATACCCTCCTCGCTCAGGCGGGGCCTCCCTGGAGGGGTGGGAGGGGCACGAAACCATGTAAATAGTATGGTATTCCGATACCCTCCTCGCTCAGGCGGGGCCTCCCTGGAGGGGTGGGAGGGGCACGAAACCATGTAAATAGTATGGTATTCCGATACCCTCCTCGCTCAGGCGGGGCCTCCCTGGAGGGGTGGGAGGGGCACGAAACCATGTAAATAGTATGGTATTCCGATACCCTCCTCGCTCAGGCGGGGCCTCCCTGGAGGGGTGGGAGGGGCACGAAACCATGTAAATAGTATGGTATTCCGATACCCTCCTCGCTCAGGCGGGGCCTCCCTGGAGGGGTGGGAGGGGCACGAAACCATGTAAATAGTATGGTATTCCGATACCCTCCTCGCTCAGGCGGGGCCTCCCTGGAGGGGTGGGAGGGGCACGAAACCATGTAAATAGTATGGTATTCCGATACCCTCCTCGCTCAGGCGGGGCCTCCCTGGAGGGTGGGAGGGGCACGAAACCATGTAAATAGTATGGTATTCCGATACCCTCCTCGCTCAGGCGGGGCCTCCCTGGAGGGGGGAGGGGCACGAAACCATGTAAATAGTATGGTATTCCGATACCCTCCTCGCTCAGGCGGGGCCTCCCTGGAGGGGTGGGAGGGGCACGAAACCATGTAAATAGTATGGTATTCCGATACCCTCCTCGCTCAGGCGGGGCCTCCCTGGAGGGGTGGGACGAAACCATGGGCCGATACGAGGGGTGGGGGGGCACGAAACCATGTAAATAGTTTGGTATGGAGTGGTATGGAATGGTATGGTAGGTATGGTATGGTACGGTATGGTATGATATGGTATGGTATGGTACTGGAGGTATGGTATGGTATGGTACGGGTACGGTATGGTACGTATGGTGTGGTATGGTATGGTATGGTATGGTATGGTATGGTATGGTATGTGTGGTAGGAACTATGGTATGGTATGGTGTGTGTGGTAGGAATAATATTGTGCTGTATGGAAGATGGAGCGGGAGGTGGGTGGGAAGGAGAGGGTGTTCTGGGAAAACAAGAACCCCACTCAGGATGTGGGGAACAACAACAATATTTACAACAACACGATCAGCACCTTCGTGTTCAGCATCATCACCATCACCATCATCAACAGCATCATCAGCCAATTGTTCTCATTCTTCACCATCCGCATCACAATCGTCATCATCGGCATCATCATCATCATCATCATCATCAGCAGCAGCAGCATCATCACCATCAGCGACATAGTCAGAATCATCATCATCATCAGCAGCAGCATCATGTTCCTCGTCATCATCAGCATCATCAGCATCATCAGCATCATCATCAGCATCATCAGCAGCAGCAGAAACCGCATCATCACCATAATCAGTATCATCGTCATCATCAGCATCGTTATCGTCATCGTCATCATCATCCTCATCAGCAGCAGCATCAGCATCATCATCATCATCAGCATCATCATCAGCATCATCTTCATCATCATCAGCATCAGCATCAGCATCATCATCATCATCAGCAGCAGCAGCAGCATCCTCATCATCATAATCATCACCATCATCTCCCCTTCCTCCAGCCAATGCCTCGGCAAGCCTCGAGCCCCGTCCCCTCCGCGTGGCGGCGAGGGAGCGCACCTCTGAGAGCCAGTGGGCGCGCTCATCCTCGGCAGGGGCGGGGAGGGAGGCTGAGCAGGTAGGGGAGAGGCCAGGGGAGAGAGGAGAAAAAGAGGGGAGGAGGGAATGAGGGAAGGAGAAGGGAGGGGAGAAGGGAGGGAATGAGGGAAGGAGGGAAGGAGAAGGAGGAGGGAAGGAGGGAGGGAAGGAGGGAAGGAAGGAAGGGAGGGTGGATGGGTGAATGAGGGGAGGAGAGAAGGCGGGGATGACGAAGGGCGGAAACGAGGAACAGGAGGACATAAGGAAGGGAGGAGGGGAGGAGGAAGGAGTTAAGGAGAGAACTGAGGGTGGGAGGAGGGGCGAGGGAGGGATGGTATGAGGAGGGAAGGAGGGAGGAGAAGAGAAAGAGGGGTGGAGGGAGGAGGAATCCTCGCCAGGGTTGGCGCAGCGCTCCGGCCCAACGAGGCGGGCCAGGTGCAGCCAGTAGTCGGCCTCGGTCGGCACCACTGTCAGGCTCCTCTTCCTCATCCTCAGTCTTGTCCTCGTCCTCCGTATCCTCATCCTTCTCTTCGTCCTTCTGCTTATCCTCCTCATCCCTTGTATCCTTCTCGTCATCCTCCTGTTCGCATCCACGTGCCACACCATCTCCATCCGCATCACCATACCACCATCCCCATCATCACCACAACCATCATTATCACGACCATCAGCAGTAGAAACATCATCAAAACAATCGTCGTCGTCATGATCACCATCATCACCACCACGCTCGTCATCACCGCCACCACCATCATCAGCAAGACCACCATCGGCGCCACGATCAGACAACCGTCATCCTCATCATCATCATCATCATCCTCATCAGCATCATCATCCTCATCATCATCATCATCATCATCCTCATCATCATAAGCATCATCATCGTCATAGTCATCATCATCATCATCATCATCATCATCATCATCATCATCATAATCATCATCATCATCATCATAATCAGAATGATCATCATCATCATCATCAGTATCATCATCATCATCATCATCATCATCATCAGCATCATCATCATCATCATCATCAACAGCATCATCATCATCATCATCATCATCATCATCATCATCATCATCATCATCATCATCATCATCATCATCATCATCATCATCGCAATCGTCTACAGGGCCATACATGAGGATGTCCTACATGTCCAGATGTCAGCTTGCTGAATGGGGTGACACCCTGCATGCGCTGTCGTTTGGAGCTGTGCAAGCATCGCCACTGCAGGTTCGGGTGCTGTCCAGACACGCGGCCGACCCAGTGAGGACGAACCCTTCGCTGGAGGACTGGAGGAAGCTGATCAGTTGACGCGCAGCCCGTCTAATAATCTCCCCCTCCTTTCCGCCCCTGCCCCCCGAGCACCACCCTCCCGCTCGCCAGCATCAGGGCGAGGTGCATCTCGCGGTAGGCCTGCTTCTGGGCAGCGTGCTCCTCGCGGCGCCGGAAGTGCAGCGCACACAAGGACGCCAACGCCGTGGGGCACGAGAGGAGGAGCCGTCCTTCCTCCCTCCTTCTCGATCGCGCTCATATTCCCTCCCCGCTCCCCTCTGACTATCGCTCTTCCTCTACTGGCTCTTCTTGCCGGTCCTTTCACAACCCTCCGACGCCGAACGGTACTCAAATCGGCACCCCTACCAGCTGCCGTGGATAAAATCCGCACCGTGAACGGACAGCCGACATGGAAGCTCCGACGAAGGTTGCTGATGATGCCTCGTTGGTTATGCTTTGCTCATGGTGCTTGCTACGCTGATGCTCGATAGCTCCACTTCGAAGCGCCGATACGCTGCAAAGGCTGCAATAACATCGCCACACGGTTCGGACTATGGCTGAGACATGTGCAACGTCCCCCTCGAGAGTTTCAAGCAGAAGGCAAGACAGCCCGGAACCGCGCTCGTTCGTTCGGAGGGATTCGCGCTGCGCTCTGCTTCGCCGAGGCGTTCACATCTCCACGCCCGTTCGGCCAGCGACGCGAACTCAGAGCCTTCCTCGAGGCGGTTCCGCACCCTGCCCTCCCGCTTCCAACGTGGAGCAGGCGAGCTCTCGGGGATGGACAGACCCCCCTCTAGTAAAACGTGGTTTAGTGAAAACGAGCTGAGGCCCAAACCTGGCGGGCGCAAGCCTGGAAAATAACGGCCAGGGCGCCCTCTCGAGAACCGAAAACGGACAATTCACTAATCGACGTGTCACTGTTGGGGGTTCTGTCCACCCCCGAAGCTCTCAGCCAGACGAGGGTTGGCCGCCTCCGCAGTCAGACCACGCCCGTCCTCGCCAGGCTCGGATTGGCGAGACGTCGCCGTGGGCACCGCTCGGCGTGCCTCCACGGCGTCAAAACTGGTGTGCCCCCACGCGCAAAGCACGGCTCGGCATGCTGGAGCAGGAGAAGAAGGAGGAGGCGAAGGCGCACAGGGAGGAGGAGGAGGAGGAGGAGGAGGAGGAGGAGGAGAAGGAGGAGGAGGACGACGGCTCATGCCTCCCTGGACTGCTCCCTCCAGGGGGGCGTCGGCGAGACGCCTGGTCCAGATGGATGCCCCCCTTCAGCACCGTGCCAAACGCCTCCAGGCGCAGGAAGGCGGAAGCAGGAAGGAGGAAGTGAGGGAGGAAAGGAGGGACGAAGGAAGAGATGGACGGACGGGAGGAGGGAGGAGAGAGGATGGAGGAGGCTGGAAGGGCGCTGGTGGATGGGAGAAAGGAAAGGACCAGGTGCAGGAAAGAGAAGGAGGAGGAGGAGGAGGAGGAGGAGGAGGAGGAGGACTTGTTTCGTGATTCGCCGATTGGTCGCCGACTGCGCTGTAGATGAAGGGGGGAGGCGGAGAGGGAAGAGGGGAAAGGCGAAGGGGAGGGGCACGAGGACCTGAGAAGGGTGAGCGCAAGGGGGGGGGGGACAGGGCGGAGGGCGGATAGAGGGTGGGGAGGACGGGGAGCAGGGCAAGCAGGAGGAACAGGGGGGGCCAGGAGCAGGAGGCAGGAGCAGCAGTAAGAGTGCACTCGAGAAGAGGACTGGCCAGGAGGGGGGGGCACCATCTGGACGAGAGGGCAAGAGGGAGGAGGGATGAGGCATGTGGAGAGGCAGAGGGGCAGGGCAAGAGAGAGAGAGAGAGAGTGTGTAGGATGGTTGAAGAGGGAGGAGCGAGGAAGGAGGGCGAGTGGAGAGAAGAGCACGCGGAGCAGCAGGAGGCGAATAACGATGCTGGCCAAGTCGGAGGAATAGCGTGAGGAGTACGTATGGGTAGGGAAGAGGAGTAGGATCCCCGCCCCGCTGATTGCTTCATGCGCTGGTTGTGTTGCTTCTGCTTTTGGCAAATGATGGGGGCTCCAAGGCGTCGGCAAGAGGGATCGGGAGGAAGAAGAGGATCAACAAGAGGTCGTCAAAGTCGCACATCGCACGTCGCGACCAGCAGGGAACTCCTGGCAGCAGAAAGGACTTCTGCATTACTCCAAGAGCATCCGACCAGGATGCCATCGTGGCTGGCCAAGGCAGCTCGTGACTGGGCAATGCACACAGCGGCCAGGGGGGATTCGAACGCTGCTTTGAGTCCCCTTGGAGTTGCCCGTGCTTGATTGCCCTTAGGTCAATCGTGTCTTGAAGCAGCACTGCAGATGAACGAGTTGCTAGCATAATATATCTGGCTGGTGCCACAACTCGTACAAACAACTACGGAGGCATCCGTGCCAGCTACGGTAGAGCACCACAGAGCGTGACCATGTCGGAGGACCAAAGCGGCCTCGACCACGTTTCGAATTGCTGGGGCAAGAATGCATATCGATTGATCCAAGGTCGTCTCGCCTTTCCGATGGCAAGACTGGCCTGTCAAGACGTCGTAGTAATGAGTCAGATAAGCTTGGGCTGTCGAGAGCTCACAAGCACGCGGCCCAACATCCCGAAGCATTCCTTTGAGGCGAATGGTAGGTCAAGCGTGTAAGGAGTTGTTGTCGCCTCAGCCTTGAAGAAGTCAAGGCCGTTGCTACAGTCGGACTTGATTGGAGAGGACACGCGAGAGGACACAAGACCCTTCCGAGGGCCACGTTGCCACACAAATGCAGGAGGCGTTGGTCGCAAGACACAGGACACGAGGGTACCCTTGATCTGGCAGGGTCGACCTACTAATCCGGGCCGCCTGTACCGGCTGAAGGGCCAAGCTCACGAATATCGCTGAGCTGTGCAACATGGAAGGCCAACATCTTAGCCCGTGTATCTCTTTTGGTGCCACGAAGTTCCGTTCGAGACTTAGCTTCAGACTCCGCGCGGTGGGTCTTGATTTCACTTGGCGCAAACTCGGGAAGGGGGGGGCCATGAGCCTCCCACCCCCGACAACCAGACTGGGTGTCTTCTTGGACCCCGAGCCCAGGCAGGTATTCCAACCCCGTGGCTACAGCTTCACAACCAATCACTACAGAACACATCATTGCACCGACCTTGCAGACATGCTGCAGCGGACTGTTGTTTAGATTTCTGTCAATGCAAAGCCCCGAAGCAGCGGGCGAAAAACGAAGTGAAACTCACGTGGATGTTTGTTTGTCTTCAATCCTGGCCAAACAACTCCGCACGAACATCACTTCGAAATTTTCCAGGACACGCTGGGCGCATCCGATTATTTTCAGAGCGAAATCCGCTCTGCGATTCTGGCGCCGTGAAACATAGACGCACCCTCAGGCCGCCCAGTACCAGCGTTCGAAACCTGGGCACGAACCACCCGAACTCTTTCTGCTTCACTTGCCATCGCTGGGACGTCCATCCCCCGTGCATTTCTCGTTTATGTGCATGTGGGGGCCTGGGGCTCGCGGCGTGAGCTGTGCAACGATTTGGCAGCTTTTCCCCACATCCCCACATCCTGCTTCGACGATCCAGGATGCTCCTCGATGGTTCTCGCCAACTAAAAAATGCACTCGCCCGAGCGATGCCAAAACCCCACCAACCCTCTGGGCGCATCCGGCTCCGAGCGAACGGATCTGCCTAAAGCCAGCGCATATCATATCCCCGCGGGGGGAGGCGGTCGCACCTCTCCGCCCTGCGCCTGCGCCGCAGCAGTTGCCCCCCATGCAGGTGGACTGAGGCGGCTGGCAGTCTGGCGTGGTGGCCGCCCCTGGTCAACCGCGGAGGCAAAGACGAGCCGCCGACGAAAAGCATCATTGGGCCCCGAGCCAAGGGCTTCGAGGTTCGGAGTGGGCTCCTTGGACCCGTCTGAGGTTCTCCAGGCGGTCAGGGCGCGATCCCCACCAAGTCCCACTCGGCCAGGGTCGATCTGCGCAGAATCGAACGAAGCAAAGAGGCAGCTGGCCGAGAGTGCGCCGCGGACGCCTTTGTCCGCTTCTGATTTCGCGATCAGACCATTCGTATCGGCCACGAATAATCATCCGAATGTGTTGGGGGATGCCTAGCGCAAGTGTACCACGTCCAGGCTGTACGTGGGCCCCTTTTGGAGCTTCCCAGAAGAGCCCCAAGAAAGACTCGAAGGCTCCCAAAAGGACTCCAAGACAGCCCGAAGGCGCCCAAAGAGGGCGCCGAAGACACCCTGTAGCACCCCGAGGGTGCCCCGAGAGGGCCCCGAGAGGCGGCAATTGCTCGGCATCACCTTAAACGACGAGGAGGAACTGAGGACGCTACAGGGCAATTGTTAATACAGAGGATGCTTGAAAACATTGGATGTTTCATACATGATCCATGTATGACTAAATTTATGCATGAAATCATCGCTGTTTTTAATACTAAATCCCTGCAGTCTTAATACATGATCCGCACGCGGAGCATGTATTAAAAACGGCACTGTACGTTTGTTTCGAACGGGGAACGGAATCGGGGGCCAAAACACTGCTGTAAGTCCGCGGGCGCCAGATGGTCCAAGACAGTCAGGCGACAAGGAACCGAGCGCGAGCCGGGGTCTTCGCGCTTCGCGATCCACGAAGCGCCATCATCCTCGCGCCTTCGCGCCGCTCCCCGCCCCCGGAACAGGAGGAGGGACGCGCGCCTCGCACGGGAATCGCCCAGACCGCGAAGCACCTCAACGTCGCATCCTCGTGTTGGCCCTACGGATTCCTGGCTGGAGCATCGACGCCTCGGGAAACGCCAACGCGGCACGGTGCACACACGTCTTCCGCGCAGGCCGGGGGCCAGGCGCGTCTTGGCCAGCGCCCGAGCCTCCTTCTCCTTTCTCTCCTCCTCACTGCTGCCACCCTCGACCGTCGTCGTCGTCGTCGTCGTCGTCGTCGTCGTCGTCGTCGTCGTCGTCGTCGTCGTCGTCGTCGTCGTCGTTTCTTCGTCGTCGTCGTCGTCGTCGTCGTTTCTTCGTCGTCGTCGTCGTCGTCGTCGGCGGCGGCGTCGTCGTCTTCGTCGTCGTCGTCGGCAGCGGCGTCGTCGTCGCGCCGCCGGAGGCACACCACGGCACAGGCCCCGAGGGCAGGGCGCGCCTCGGCCAGCGCCCGGACCTCCTCCTCCGCGCCGGGGCCCGGCGCACTACCGCGCACGGCGCCGGCGGGTCCGGCCCTGGCGGGGCCGCGCGGGGTGCGGGGCGGGGAGCAGGAGCAGGAGGAGGAAGACGCAGAGGAGGAGGAGGAGGAGGAGCAGGAGGAGGAGGACGCAGAGGAGGAGGATGAAAAGAAGAAGAAGAAGAAGGAGGAGGAGGAGGAAGAGCAGGAGGAGGGGGAGGATGAGAAGGCGGGGAGGACTTACACTCAGGGGGAGCGCAAACATGGATTGGCGATCCATGGATCTGGCGCACGGTCGCCAAATCCATGGATCGGGGGAGGTGCCCTCCCCAGAATGCGGCCGATGCCGCCTCGCTCGGCGGGGGAAAGCCGCAATTTGCTATGGAAACGGGACCCGCGGCTGATCCACGCCCTATTGATCCATGTTTGCGATCGCCTGATACACGCTGGTCGTAAGAAGTAGGTAGAAACATGAAGCAGGAAGGCGTTGAAAGGTGATTGGGTCTCCGCCCGCCCCCTGAAGAGGAGGGAAGAGGGGAAGCCACTTAATCATTGAAGTAGGAAGGCGCCTAAAGTAGACTAAAACCGGGAATTTCAATAAAAAACTACTTTCAACGACCGATGGGTAGCGGCGCGCAGAACTCAGGCACCCTCGAGTCGTGAAGAAATCACGACGGAAGGTTTTTCGCTATTTGTTCGGGCGCCGGGGGCCCTCACCGGGCCTCGGGATCGTGAAATAACGACTCAAAATGAACAACCGGTCCTGGGGAATAGGTCGAAACCGTTGAGGGTCGACGTCATGAACAAAATCATGACGTCTGGAGCCTGGGAAAAGGGATAGGGGGAAGGGGGAAGGCTTCTTCTTAGAAGGAGGCTGCTTCTTAGAAGGCGCCGCCCCTACATCTACCTACAGACAAGGCCCACGCCTTCTAAGGAGCAGGGGTGCTTCTAAGAAGCAGGGGTGCTCGAAGGGGCGCTCCCTGGTCGCTCCGCCCTGAGTAGCGGCGCGTGCGTTTTGAGAAAACCACTGAAAAAAACGCCGAGGACTCGGCCTCCAGTGCGGGGCAGGGAGGGGGGGGGGAGCGAGGAGGATGATGCTTCGAGAGGCTCCGAATCGACTGCACGGAGGCCCCCAATCAAGGAATAAAGAGAACTTCGGGGCGCAAGGACGGATGCCGGACCCAGAGAGCCAACGTTATGGAGAAAAACCATGACCACCAGCAAGGGCTCCAACTTCGCGCTTCGCGCTGCGCGAAGCGCGAAGTGCGAATAACTTCGCGCTCTCGCGCCGCCTCCCGGGGGACTAGCGGAGGATGAGGAATCTGAGCCGAACCGCAAAGCGCGAATAACTTCGCGCCCTCGAGGGCGCCCTTGCCCAAATCCTGGCGACTCGATTCTTCGACCCGCGCGTTCTCGCACGGCTGCGGGCCCCAGGGACCCTCGCGGATCGCTCTAGCTCGAGAGAGGTGGCACAGACCGAGGGGGCCTGGGGCTCGCGGCGTGAGCTGTGCAACGATGTGGCAGCTTTTCCCCACATCCCCACATCCTGCTTCGACGATCCAGGATGCTCCTCGATGGTTCTCGCCAACTAAAAAATGCACTCGTCCGAGCGATACCAAAATCCCACCAGCCCTCTGGGCGCAGCCGGCTCCGAGCGAACGGATCTGCCAACAACCAGCGCATATCATGTCCCCGCGGGGGGAGGCAGTCGCACCTCTCCGCCCTGCGCCTGCGCCGCAGCAACTGCCCCCCATGCAGGTGGACTGAGGCGGCTGGCAGTCTGGCGTAGTGGCCGCCCCTGGTCAACCGCGGAGGTACAGTGGAGGCCAGTCCACAAAAAACCTTCCACAAGAAACCCAACCCTGAGACTCCAGGGCGTCCGTGGATTTTTGATGCGGGAGCGTCGCGCTTTCCGTCGCAGAACCATCGAAACCCAAGAAACCCAGGGCACCCTGGAGGCAAGCAGGGTGTCTCCTGGCATGGGACTCCACTGTACATAACAGTCTTGTTTTCTCAACACAGCTCCGCGAAGGGACCTCACACCTCGCCCCCTTCCTCCTGTCGTCACCATGTCGTCACCATCCCATCACGCTCACGATCACCGATCACCATGATCACCCGATCACTCCCTCGCTCATTCACTTATCACCCACCCATTCATTATCATGTCGTGCTCACTCCCATCATGGCCATCGGCAAGCAGCATCATCATCAGCATCATCATCACCATCACCATCACCACCACCATCACCATCATCACCATCCCCATCAGCATCACCAACCACTCATAGTCTCTCTCTCTCTCTCTCTCCCTCCCACGCAATCACATTCACTCACCACCCACTCACTCATCATCATGATATCAACCGTGATTGTGATATCGTCATGAATCACGCCATCATCCCACACCCTCTCCCTCTCATCACCACCACTATCACCATCGTCATCATCACCCAGATTCGCTCGCACATTTAACTGTCGTCACTTCTGGGATCCTGGAGCCTGAATATTGAGGGCGTCTCAGGCGGGAGCCCCCTCCCTATGGGGCCCGCACTTCATGTTCGAATCTGGGCGGGTCATCCAAATCCTGTATTTGTCGTCACGTTTGGGCCCCTCAGGCCTGAATCTTGCGGAAGTCTCACGCAGGAGCCCCCTCCCTATGGGACCCGCGCTTTTATGTTCAAATACAAGCGGGTCATCCAAATCCTCTAACTGACGTCACTTTTAGGCCCTCGGTCTGAATCTCGAGAAAGTCTCAGACGGGAGCCCCCTCCCTATGGGGCCCGCGCTTCATGTTCGAATCCGACCGGGCCATCCAAATCCAGTAACTGTCGTCTTTTTGGGGCTCCTAAGGCCTGAACATAGAGGAAGTCTCCGACGGGAACCCCGTCTGTGAATGAACCGTGCGGAAGTCTCAGAAGGGAGCCCCCTCTCTATGGGGCCCGCACTTCATGTTCGAATCCGAGCGGACCATCCAAAGCCTGTCACTGTCGTCACGTTTGGGTTCCTCAGGCCTGAATGTTTAGGACATCTTAAGCGGGAGTCCCCTCATGGGGCACGCATTTCATGTTCGAATCTGAGAGGGCCATCCAAACCCTGTAACAGTTGTCACTTCTGGTGCTGCCCAGGCCTGAATCTTGAGGAAATCTCTGACGGGAGCCCCCTCCCAATGGGGCCCGCACTTCATGTTGAAATCTGGGCGGGTCATCAAAATCCTGGAACCGTCGTCACTTTCGTGCTCCTCAGGCCTGAATCTTGAGGAACTCTCAGACGGGAGCCTCCTCCCTATGGGGCCCGCACTTCATGTTCGAATCAGAGCGGGTCATCCAAATCTTGAAACCGTCGTCACATGTGAGAGAACGCGTTTTATGGGCGCTTGCTTTGGGAACATTTGGCTGCGCGTTTCAAACGGGGGGGGGGCGGGAGGCTCCCCACGAACACTCGGCGCCGTCGATCAAAACCAAGGGGACCCCCCTCCCCCCCAAAACCCCCCTCCCGAACCCCCCACCTCTCCCTCCAAAGGGGGGGGTGTTCAAACACCCCCCCCCCCGACGCCGGCGCCGGCGCTGTCGGCCGCCAGCAGCGCCGACGGCGGGGACGCAGTGTTCAAATCCCCCCCCCTCCCGGGCGCCGTGCGCCAGGGGGGGGGGGGTCAAACCCCCCCCCCCCCCTAGCGCCGGCGCCGGCGCTGGCGGCGGCCAGCAGCGCCCGCGTTGGCGCCGGCGACGGAGGAGACACAGCGACGATAACCACCACTACCACCACCGCCAACACTACCACCACCACCACCGCCTCAGCCCACCACCAAACCACTACACAACCACCACCACCAACCCACCACACAACCACCACCACCACCACCACAGCCACTACCACAACTCACCATCACCACCACCACCACAGAAACCCACCACCACTACCACCACCACCAATCTACCACACCACCACCACCACTGCCACAACCACCACCATCACCAGTGCCAGCAGCACAACCCGAGGCCACCACCACAAACCACCACACCACCACCACCACCACCACCGCCAACACCACCACCACCAGCACCACCTCCACAAACCACCGCCACCACCACGACCCACCACCACCACAACAAACCACCACCACACCACCACCACACCACAACAACCACCACCACCACAACTCAACATTACCACCACCACCACACCACCACCACCACAACTCAACATTACCACCACCACCACAAAAACCCACCACACTACCAGCACCACCGCAATCCACCGAACCACCACCACCACCGCCAAAACCACAACCACTGCCAGCAGCACAACCAACCACAACCACCACCACCACAAACCACCACAAACCACCACCACCACCACTACCACCAGCACCACCTCCACAAACCACCGCCACCACCACAACCGACCACCACCAACGCCACGACCACACCACCACCACACCACCACCAAACCACCACCACCACCGCCACAACCGACCACCAGCACCACAACCACAAACCACCACCACATCACCAACAAACCACCACCACAACCACCACCACAACCACCACCACAACCACAAACCACCACACCACCACCACAACCACCACCACACCGCCACCTCCACCACCACAACCCACCACCACCACCACCACCACTACCACCAGCACAACCTCCACAAACCACCGCCACCACCACAACCCACCACCACCACCACCACAACCACCACCACACCGCCACCACCACCACCTCAACGCACCACCACCACCACCACCACCACCACCACCATCACCACCACCGTCGTCCTCGTCGACGCTCCCCGCCGCCGCCGCCCGCCGCCGCAGGCGCCGGCGCCAGCCCAGAAAAAAAAACTTGTCGTCCACGCCGCCGCCGCCAGCCGCTGCCGACGCAAGCGCTGGTCCGACGAGAGGGAAGCAGGGGAGGGAACGGGGACGGGGTAGGGGAGTTCGACCCCCCCCCTCCCGTCACAAAACGGAGGGGGGGGATCCGGCTTTAACCCCGCCCCCCCCCCCCTCCAAGCGACCACAGAACGCGCTCTTTCTCACACTTGGGCCCTTGAGGCCTGGATCTTCAGGAAACCTCAGAAGGGAGCCCCATCCCTATGGGGCCCGCACTTCATGTTCTAATCCGACCGGGCCATCCAAACCCTGTATCTGTCATCTCTCTGGTGCTCCTTAGGCCTGAATCTTGAGGAAGTCTCCGGCGGGATCCTCCTCCCTCTGAGGCCATCACTTCATGTTCGATTCCGAGCGGGTCATCCGAATCTTGTATCTGGCATCACTTTGGTGCTCCGCAGGCCTCGAGCTGGAGGAACCAGAACGAGAAGGACGATGAGGAGGAGGAGGAGGAGGAGGACGCAGAAACGGGAGGAGGACCTGGACTGGACTGGAAAAGGCCGAGCCTAGACGGCGCATCGGCAAAAGATTCGGTAATCCTGAATGTACATACATGTGGGGAGGCGTGCACGAACATGCAAACTACCAGCTGCACAGTGTCTCGGTGAAATCGTTGTCTCCTTTGTATCAACGAAGTGCGAGGGAAACCTGCGCAGCATTCCAAGGGAGGGGCGGAGGGAGTGAGGGAGGGAGGGAAGGAAGGGCGGAGGGAGGGAGGAGGGCCTGCGCCAGTCGAAAAAGAAAAGTGCGAGGGGCAAGCTAAATCGATTATCATGCGGGGTCGTACCGTCGGAGTAACTTCGCTACGTCGGACCTCAGGGGAGGTCGGACCCAAATATCCAACATACAGTCGGACCTAGGCCGGAAGAACATGCCTCAAGAACATGAGGAGACCCTGCGTCGGCCAAACAAGCAGAACATCCAAGGGTGGCCTCCCCAGGATACACGAGAACATCCAACAAGCACGGCGAGCACTAGGGTACCTCCCCGAACCAACCTCGATCTTATAGCTCGGTCCGACTGTATAGAGAAAGCATGACGGAGATTAGTCGCTGCTTTCGGTGGAGCTCCCTACGGGGCCACGAAGCGTTGCACTGGGCGCGCCGAACACGCAGACATGCGGAGGGCAGAGGCAAGGAGGGGGAGGAGGGAGGAGGGGAGGAGGGAGGAGGGGAGGAGAAAGCAGAACGCGGGGCGCTGTCTCTTCAAAAACGAGGACCCGATACCGGAGGAGGGCTGGGAAAAGAACAGGACGGAGATTAGTCGCCGCTTTCGGCGCTGCCTACAGTCAACCAGTGTAGTAAGGGTGCGCGATGAGGATGCAAGGGCCTTGGACGCCCATTTCGGAAGCTTTTCGAGCGGGGTGCGGCCAGCGAAAGCGGCGAAGGATGGACCGAGGAGGCAAGGATGCAAGGGCACCCTTGGGAAGGTTGCCCCTCCTTACTGTGCGGGCTGACTCTGATGTGGGGTGCGGGGCGGGAGGACGGAGGTCCGCCGCGCTGCGCCTGGGCGCGCCAGATAGCATCGGCCATGCGCAGATGGAGGAGGAGGAGGAGGAGGAGGAGGAGGAGGCCGAAGAGGAGGAGGAGGAGGAGGAGGGGGAGGAGGAGGATGAGGAGGAGGTGGAGGAGGAGGAGGAGGGAGCCCGCCAGGCGCTGCCACGCGCGGAGGAGCAGCAGAACGCCTCCGAGGAGGCGGGGCGCCCGTCGGGCGCTGCTCCGTGCAGGGGTGCGGCAGGCAGGAGGGCCGGAGGTCGGAGGCGCAGCGGGAGCCCGCCGGGCGCCGCTCAAAGCGGGCCCCCTCGGAGGCGTTCGAGGCCGACTGGAGAGCGTTCGAGAAGCGGTCCTCCTCCCCTCCGAGCCTGTCCCCCCCTTACGTTGCCCCTGGCGACCGCGGGGTCCCCTCGGTGACCTCCTCTGGGCGGAAGGACGGAAGTCGGACCCAGAGATCCAACGCATGGAACATCGCTGGGCCCCGGGACCGTCAAAAGACGGCTCAGGATAAAAAACCTGTCCTGGTGAGTGGGTCGAAACTTCCGTGGACACCGCATTGAAAAAATCAGGATCGGGAAACAAACTCTGTAAAACGACTCTTTTTCCAGCATAGCGCTAACACTTGCACAAGAAAGCGGATATTGGTGTATACGGGACCCTGGTGTATGATGTTTCGTTGTTCCTCTGGGAGACAGAAAAAAAACGTGTACAACACAACACCCCGAGGTCGTCCGCGACCCTCAAAAAAAGTCCTGGGATTGAGAAACAGCCCGCCACTGGAAATGTATATGCTCCAGTTTCCGACAACACATCGGATCTCTACGAAGGTGCAGCGGGAGCCTGTCGGGCGTCGCTCCGAGCCCAGAGGTGGCAAACTCGAAGAGGGGGCGGGAGCTCGGAGAGGAGCCGCGCCCCTCGAAGGCCTTCTTGGCACCAACAGCGCCTGGGTGCACGAGGAGGGCTAGAGGAATAGCAACGGAAGGACCTACCCATCGGTCCGAATAAGTGGGCAGACACATGAAGTAGGAAGGCGTTGAGAGGAAATCGGGCGTCCGCCCGCCTCCCAAAGGAGGCCGAAAAAGGCGAGGCCACTCGATCGTTGAAGTAGGAAGGCGCGTAGAGCAGATTGGAACCTGGGACTCTCAAGATACCTATACGACCACCCTGCGGGTGATAAGGAGGTTGTGGGGGGGTGGGGGGAGGGGGGTGGCTCGTCATGGTTGCTCATGATGAACAACCATGATGAGCAACCATGATGAGCAACCGGCGGGCAACCGACGGGACTACGTGGGCTACCGCTTGACAAGGCCGGGGGGGGAAACATTTGTGTTGGCGGACCCCTAGCGACAGCAGAGTGAATTCCTCTCGCTGGCCCGCGCAGCTTCGCCTCGCCCGCACGCACGGCACGAGCACGAACTCGAAACTCGATTTCCCGGTGGGGGGACTCCGTTACACTGCGATCTCACCCCCCAACCTCCGACCTACTTTCAACGACCGATGGCTAAGGAACAGCGAGCCCCGTCCGACCCCCAACCGGCTCCCGATGTCAACGCCTTGGCTGCACACGCGAAGAGCCAGCGCGAAGCACGGAGGGCGGCCAGCCCAGCTGCCGAGGAGCACGGGAATTGCCGAGATCGAAGAAGAAGCAGCCCGCAGGGAGAAAGCAGCGGTTCAACGCCACCGACTCAACGGGACCCGGGCCTCCAGAAGCACGGATTTGGGCCTGCCCTGGGGCACGGGTGCTTTGTTTTCCGCGCGCGCTCCTGCAGATTGGCCCTCCCCGGTGGCTCCAATCCTGTGTTTTGCACATGTTCCTACACATTGGGCCACTCCTGGGGCACGAGTCCGCCCCACGAGGCTCCAGGAGGCCCCAGGACGCTCCAGGAGGACCAAAACATCGAGGCCTCCGGAGATCCCCCGAGAGGTCCCCGCGGCCTCTGGAGGTCCAAGCCTCGACGTTTGTGATTTTTGGGGGGCCTCTGGCTGCAGAGGCCGCCAACTGCACACGAGCGCCGAGGGCGCAACATCCTCTCCTCCTCCTCGTCCTCGTCCTCGTCCTCGTCCTCCTCCTCCTCCTCCTCCTCCTCCTCCTCCTCCTCCTCTTCCTCCTCCCCCTCCTCCTCCTCCTCCGCCTCCTCCCCCTCCTCCTCCTCCGTCCTCCTCCCAACACGATCTTCGATCCTGGGCTGTCCTAAACATTCATTCTCCTTGGGGTCTGGGTTCATCTCGTGAGCGGCCCCCGGGCCTCTCCGGCGGCGCGTACCGAATTTCCAGGGACTCCGACCGCTGCGACGAGAAGCTCCCCAGGGGCCGAACCAGGACAAAGAGGTGCACGACAGCATCGACACTCCGCCGTTCGGTTGCGGCGGCGGCGTCCTCGTAGCCGCCGCGGTGGCCCGCGTCGTCGTTGTCGTCGTCGTCGTCGTCGTCGTCGTTGTCGTCGTCGGGGGCGGCGTCGGCGTCGGCGTTGGCGTCGGCGTCGTCGTTGGCATCGTCGTCGGTGGTGCCCTGGTGGCCGCCGCGGTGATGCGCGTCGTCGTCATCGGCGGCGTCGTCGTCGTCGGCATCAGCGGCGTCCTCGTGGCCGCCGCGGTGACGCGCGTCGTCGTCGTCGTCGTCGACGTCAACGTAGACGTCAACGTCGTCGTGGTCGGCGGCGGCGGTGGCGGCGTCGGCAGCGGCGTCGGCATCGGCGTCGTCGTCGTCGTCGGTGTCGTCGGCGTCGGCGGCGGCGTCCTCGTGGTGCGCCGCGGTGACGCGCGTCGTCGGCTGCGGCGTCGTCGGCGGCGTCGTCGGCGGCGTCGGCGTCGGCGTCGTCGTCGGCGGCACTGGGCGCGGTCCTCACGGCCGCCGCGGCGCGTGTCACCGCGGCCGCCAGCGGCGGCTTGCTGAGGTCCAAGCCCCAGCAGTCCGAGGGCGGCCGCGACAGTCGCGGCGAGGCCTGCGTCGGCCAGCGGCGGTATGCGCGCCGATCGCGGGCCGTCCGACCGATCGAACGAAAATCGTCGTCGTCGTCGTCGTCGTCGTCGTCGTCGTCCTCGTCGTCCGTCGTCGTTGTCGTCGTCGTCGGGGGCGGCGTCGTTTGCGTCGGCGTTGGCGTCGGCGTCGTCGTTGGCGCCGCCGTCGGTCGATCGAACGCAAGGCGGTTTTTGGAAACCCTCCCAAGGTCGATCGGGCGCAAAGTGTTTTTGCTCTTTCTGTTGCTTCACATCCGTGGCCTCTGGGGGTTCCAACAGACAGGATCGTGAGGCACGCGGTGAACATGCAACCGCTCGCTAGCCTCGAAGGCAAATAATCACGCCTATGAGCGTTTCTCTATTCGGCGTTTCGGCATTGGGCGGAAAGGGGGACCGGGGGGGCCCTGGCTCCGGACCTCTGCTCATTGCGACTGTATGGGAGCCGTGCAACGTATGGGGGAGAGTCAACCTGTTCGAAACAGGCGCCAAAAAGAGCCAAAATCTACTCCATGGGGGGGCGGGGGGGGGCGAGGTCCCGCGCCGATCGGCAAAACAATGAATACAGACGATTACTAGGCCGATCGAACGCAAGGTGCTTCTGCTTCTGTCTCTACTGCACATCCGTGGCCTCTGGGGTGCCAACTGAGCACGTCGTGAGGCAGGTGGCGAGCACGCAAGCGCCCGCCGGCCTCGAAGGAAAAGAATCGCGTTCTGACCCTTCTTTTCGGTCGGGTATATAGCTGAAACATAATCATGGCTCTATATTTAACGTTGAAACATATAACCCAAACAAGGACAACGCAAACAAAAAAAAAAAAACGCCCCCATATTATTGCTTGAACGATTATTGAATATTCCGCCTGTAGAGGGACAGGCCCGATCTAACCCTTCTCGCCCACGTGCTTCAGCGGCTTTGGGGGGCCACCCCCAATCAGGAGTCCACCTGCGAGGCCGCCCCCCGCGCACCCACCCGTTGCAGCGGCGCCACCAACGATCGTGGGAACGATCGCGCGACCAAAAGCTCGAACGGTCGCGCGATCGATCGTTCGTTCGATCGACCGACCTTGCGATCAATCCATGGTTGAATTGCGACTACCTACCAGTCTATCACAACCGAAGGCCCAAGTTTCAGGCGGGGGGGCACGGGTTCCACACGTGCGTTGTTCGATGTCCCCCGCCCCACCCCACGCACTGAAAATCAATGGAAAAGTTGGGCATGCGGGTTGGGTTGGGGTGCTTTGGTGGGCGGTGAAACAGATCGACCGCTCGTTGGGCCGATCGAGGATCGATCGATCGTCTGGTCGGCCGCTCGAAGACCGAGGCATTTAACGTTTTGGCGCTGTTTCGACCTGCGGGGGGCTCCGGGAGCCACTGGAGGCAGCCGCCGAGAAGCCCCTCCCCTTGACCGCCGCGCGACAAAATGCGAGCCAAAAGAAATGGTAAATGGCCTCGTCATGAAGGAGAAATTCGAACTTCCACGAGGGCCTCGCCAGCCCCCCACCGCCCTCTCAGAGGCCGTCCGATCATGGCGCCAGCCGCCTCTCCAGCCCGCAAGCGGGCGGGGGGGGATCGGCCGGGACGACCGACTCCTCGGAGGCGATGTGGACGTCGACCTCGCACGTCTCGGCGACCACGCTGGAGGCGCCAGCGACAAGGTCGTCGGCCACGCGCTGCCTGCCGCCGACGCGCTGGAAGACCAAGTCGTCGACGACCACGGATGGGGCGACACCGGGAGAGGCCTGCAGCGCGCGGTCGAGGGGCACGAGGAGGACCAGCTCCATGACGATGGTGGCCAACATGGAGCACGCCGGACCGTCTGCTGCACCTCGATGAGGTTGGAGACTGCGCCTATCTCCACCGCGTTCGGCATCCGAAGCGGGGAAATCTGAGGCCCGGCGGTTGCTGCTGAGAAATCGCGCTGCGCCGCGGCGTCGACGAGGCGCAAGTGCTCCACCTGCCCGAAGGCCCCGCAGAGGTCGAGCATGGCCGCGGCTAAGCCCGAATTGACAATTGAGCCCAGGCCGCTCGACTCGCTGGGCACTGACCCGCTCGCCCCAGACTAGCTGCTGCCACGCTGCTCGCTCGCGGGCCTTGCCCGCGCTGGCCCGCCAGAAGGCCCGCGGGCGGGCCCGCTCCCCGGCGGCCGCCGCGCCGCGCCGGAGGCGCCAGTGGACCTGCGCCGCCGCGGTGAGCAGGGCGACGGGCCCGACTCCTCCGTCGGGCATGCCGATTCAGATCAGCTTCGCGACGCGCGGCGGCAAGCGATGCCCCCTCTCGGCGCGCGCGAGGAGGTCCGCGGGGGCGCGGGCCTCATCGTCGCCCAGGGCGTCGAAGTCTCAGGGGCGGAACGCGTCGAAGCTGGCGCCGCCGACTGCGGGGGGGCGCCTGAAGACCGCCCTCATGCTAGCCACCGCGCGGCGCTGAGGTCGCTGCCCGGGGCCGCCCGCCGGCCGCCGCAGCTCCCCGCAGGGGGCGCCGACGCCCCAGTGGCTCGCCCATTCCTTCGCGAGGAGCTTGGCGACAACCCTCTGGGGGCGCGGCCTGGCGCCCCCCGCTGGCGCCATTGTTGGTCTCGGCTGCAACGGGCTCGGTGCTCGTCGAACTGGAGTGCCACAGCATGGGCCCCCTCGCAATGGCGCGACGGGCCCCGCTGCCGAGAGCCTGCCGCTGGTCGACCCAGTCGCCGAACCTGGCCGTACCTTGCCGCGCGGCGACGCCGGCGAGGTGCCTCGCCAACGCGGAGGCGGGCGAGGCGCGGCCAGAGGCCTGCGGGCGGCGCGGGGCCGACAACGCCTCCGAATACCGCCATCAGATGCCGCCACGGAGCGGGCGCGCCACGCCTCGCTTCACGAAGCGCGGCCAGGCGCGCGCGCGCTGCTGCTGGCCATGGAGGCCGCGACCATGGCGGCGCCCGCCCACCCGTCGAGGCTGGGGCGACGGGGCGGGCCTGACATCTGCCAGCGCGCGCTCGGCGCAGCTCCGGCACCCGCGCTCGCCCGCGGAGCTTGCTGCCATCACGGGCGAGGTCGCGCCTGTCGATGAGCGCGTTTTCCGAGAGCTTGACCGAGGCCTGCCGCGCGTCGGCGACGGGGGGGCCGCCCTCATTCGCCGCTGAAGTCGCGGGCGCAGCAGACCTGCGGAGGCGGCCGAGGAAATTTCTCGGGCGCCTGCATGCGGCGCCCAGCCCGCGTCGGCGCGAGGCCATTCGCGGAGGCTGCAGGGGCAGGCGCGGCCGTGGGCGCTGGGGCGGGCGCTGATGCCTTGGCCCACTCCTCGACGCGGACGACGATCTCCTCGAAAAAAACCTCGGCGCGGCCCCGTCGACTGCGCTTCGACCGCGCGGATCGACGCCATGAGCGACTCCACGGGCGGCGCGGTAGGCACGACGAAAGCCTTCGCGGCCTCGGCGCGAGCCTCCTCGCGCGCCTCGCGGAGGCCTTCGTCTGGGCCGCCTGCCCGTCGACGGCGAGGAGCGCCTTGGCTACCGCCTCGGCGAGACGCAGCTCGGCACGCTCGGACGCCTGGAGCTTCTGGCCGATGCGCTCGCACTCGGCCGTATCGCCCTTGACAGCGTCGATGCCTGCCGCCCCGACTTCGCAGCAGTACTCAGCCTTATCAGCCATGCACAGAAAACTTTTTATACTCCGCCCATGCCTCCGAACTCATCTCCGCTGCGCGCTGGAGTCCTTTCTCATCGAGCTTGGGCCAATGCGCCGCAACGGGGTGGGAAGCTGGCCGTCCGCACCGCGTGCGTTGAGCTACGGGGCGCTCTTGCGTTGGCTTTTGCCTCCACCATCCCCGCTGCGGCCGCATGCGCCGCCGCCACCTCCGTTGCCGCCTCCTGCATCGCCACGGCGGCGACTTGATTGCTGCCAATCACAAGGCCCGCTGGAGAAAACACACCACTTCTTGGACTGTGGGCTGACGACTTGGCACCCGCAACTCCAATTCAACATCGATGGTAATATGCGCACGACAAGACACGGGCTGCTACACTCTTGACCTCGGCAAAGCGCACCGTCCCCGAAGCTGCACGGAAAGATGACGCAAACTACGGGCCAGCGGTATCTTGAAGTGGCTGCGGACACCGCAACAGCCGTGTGCAATGCAGCGCGTGTACACCACAGTGCCCGCGTGCACCACACCGCCGATGTACACCAAATCGAATGCGTACACCACAGCAGCCGTGTGCAACACAACGCCGGTGTACACCACAATGCTTGCGTGCACACCAGAACGCCCTTGTACAACACAACATCCACGTGCAACACAACGCTGGTGCACACCACAATGCCTGCGTGCACACGACAAATACAAGTAGCATGCAGGTCAGGATCTGCAACGGGCACCTGCACACCACGCAGGGGGAGTGTTGATAATAGAATGCGATATGAATCGTTTGTCCCCCTCCTCCTATTATCCCTCCTCCTCCTCCTCCTCCTACACCTCCTCCTCCTCCCTCACCCTTCCCCCCTGTCGTGCGGATCGGCACTACAGCGCACGTGCGCATTTCAGCGTACACCATAGAATGATATATGTAATCGGTCCACTCGGTTCTCGGCCGGCCAACTCATCGGTATCCATTTGAACGCAGACGCGAGGAGTTAGGATGATGCTGGAAGATGCGGGAGGATTCTTAAAATCTGGAGGCGGTCCTTTTTCCACAAGGATTCCTTTTTTGCACATCTTATATGGAACCATTGCGCTCCATTTCGTCATAGGAACTCTTTGTTACAATTCGTTCACAACAATGGTGTTCTGTTGCAGACGGTTGTTGTGGTGCATACAGGCGCCGTGGTGTACACAGGCGCTGTGGTGCTGGCAAGCACAGTGGTGCACACCGATAATTACTGTGTCGCACACAGCTGCTGTGGTGTACGCAATCGCTGTGGTGTACACAAGCGCTGTGGTGTACGCAGGCACTGTGGAGCACACTGGCGCTGTGTTGCACGCGGTTGCTGTAGTGTAGAAAGGCGCTGTTGTGTACATGGGCGTGTGGTGCACGCAAGCACTGTGGTTCACACAGGCGCTGTGGTTCAGATCGCAACCTACATGCTGTTCCTACCCGTCCTCGGTCATCTCAAGGATTCCCAGACGCCGCCTGCGCGAAACGTGACGTCACCAGTCCCCTTCCCCTCCCCCCTGGTGAAGCCCGTTATCGCCCCAGAAGAAGACAAAACAGGCTCTAATCGCAAGACACTCGCTACACTGCGCGGTGTGGCACAGAGGCGAGGGCAAGGGATGACGAGACGGAGGTAAGGCAGACACGTCGCTAGCACGTCCCTAGACCCAGGCGAATGCCACCAGGGTCGCTATGAGCTCGACGTGGTGGCATTGCGGAAACTGCGGAAAACACATTTCAGGCGTCCGGCAGGGCGAGCGGCAGCGGACAATAATAACACAGAAAGAGGTACATTCGAAACAAGGTCACAATAGCGTGGATCAAGAACACGGGCCCTTCGCAAAGAGCCCAAGGCCCCACAGAGACATCCAGAACGAAGAGCATTCCAGGTTGGAGAGCCAAACGGCGAATAACAGAATGGCCCCCCTCCAAATCTATGATTGTTCTGAACTCTCGTGCTAGCTGTAAGAAAGGGGGGGGCAGGTTAACGCACACCAGGGCAGGGCAGGACTTGGCAGGGCATGAGAGGGAGGGCATGAACAGAAGGTTTAGGAGGTCCGCGCGGACCTTCGAAAGTGTATGTATCTATTTGGCGGCGCGCAGGGGGGTGTATGGGGAAGGGGGGAAGGCGTCGTAGAAGCAGGGGTGCTTCTAAGAAGCCTTCCCCCCTCCTCCTACCTTTAAGTCGGGCGTGTCCTCCTACAGGCGGATCCTGGACGAAAAAATGCGCGAACATGTTCAAACAATCAAGATACGAAACACAATAAATAAAACAACAGTTTTTTTACATGTCAACAAATCCCCTGAATGTTTGTTTACTCTATCTAAATATTCCTCTTGTGCAGGGACATGCCCGACTTGACCCTACCCCCCTCTACGCGCCGCCAAGTTTTTGCTGCTCCTCCAGGCCCTGGACCAAGGCGAAACCCCAGCCTTTCCGGGGAGGCCCGGATGGCCGCCTCCACAGCACTCCCCACGCGGCCCCAGAGAGCCTCAGGGGATCAAAGATATGGCCTCCCTCGCCCCCTCCCTCTCCCAGGAAAAAGGATGAGAAGAGGATCGGGAGCGTCAAAGAGGGGGGTGTCCAAGAGGGGGGGGTGCAAATCATGACCGGCGGCGCGTGCACGGCCCAGCGGGGGGGCCAGGGACGTAATGAAACAAGAAGAGGCGCCATGAGATCTGGGGAAATATCATGGCCCGCGCCATGATATCCACCCCCCCCTAGTCATCACCCCCCTCTTTTCCGCTCCCGAGAGGAGGGTGGAGGACGAAGGCGCGAGGCGGGCATTATCCATGTCCACCGCCCGGGACTCGACGTCCTGGCCGGGATCGCCTGGGCCGCGGCCACCTCCGGCAACCTCTTAGAATCAGGTCGGGCCACTCCCCCTACAGGGGGATTTGGGACGAAAAAATAAGAAATGCCAACCAACGATTCCCAAATGATTCAAAATTACAAGAAAACTCGTCCCCATGCGATTTCTTAACTAGTTTTGAATGTTCCCCCTGCAGAGGGACACGCCCGACTTAATCTTAGAGGGGGCCGAGAGCCCATGCTTATTGTGCAGCTGGTCCTGCTTCGAGGGGAACGGTGGCCGGGGCGGGGGGCGAGGCTCTGGCGGCTCTTCTGGGGGAACTAAAAGGAAACGATACCGCTACAGTGGGGGCCGGACTACAAGAAACCTTCCACAAAAAATCGAACCCTAAGACACTAGGACGTCCATAGACTTTGGGAGGGGGGAAGTCACGCTGTCCATCGCAAAACCATCGAAACCCAAGAAACCCAGGGCACCCTGGAGGCAAGCAAAGTGTTTCTTGGCATGGACCCCCACTCTACTCCCCAGACCTCTCCTGGGGTGCGTACTGAACAGGATGTTGAGGCGAACCCGGCGGTGGCGACGAGGGCCGCCCAGGAGGCCGAAAATGGGGGCAGCGAGGGAAGGGTAGAAGAATGGGTACCTGTTCCTCTTCTGATCGTCCCTTCTTCGAGGGTCACCTCTCATTAAGCAGGGACCGACCGTCCCAGCATTTCTATAGGCCAACCACGAAATTCTCTTAGAACCAATAATGTTCTAAGAACAGAAACAATGTTCTTAGAGCATAGCCCCGATGTGTTGAAACAAGACAGTCCCAGCAAGAGATGTTCTAAGAACATTTCGTGGCAATCACAAAAGGTTCTTAGAATATTATTTGGTAGGCCTACAGACACGCCAGGACGCTTCGCCACTGCCTGATCCGAGGCAACTGCCGATCCCTTTGGACGCCCGAAATAGGCACGGAAAGAATGGGCCCAATGCCCAACGGCAAATGTTGTCCCACACCTACAGCGGCCGCTGTTGGGCGGGCGGCCTTCTGTCTCAAATGGACACAGGCCGCGGCGGCGTGGACAGCGAGTCCTGCTCAAAACGATCAAGAACTGCTGCTGGGCATTGCACCCACTCTCGGGCCGGGCGAAAGGGGGGGATAGCAAAGGGGGGGTTTGAGAATCAGCTCACGCAGCTGATTTTCCCGGCGCCTCCCGGCGCCTGGAGGCGGCTGTGTATCGAGGAATGGGCCCCTGGTGAGGCCGAAACCAGCTGCATGCAGCAAATTTCGTAACCCCCCCTTTCCCAATCCCCCCCTTTCGCCCGACCCGACACTCCTTCCGCTCCCTCGCCGTGCAGGCAGGCCGGCCGGATCGACGGGCTCCGCAGAAGCCTCCCGCGAGGCCTCCGCGCGCGGACCTCTGAGGGGGCCCGGCCCGAGGGGCCCCCCCCTTGGAAGGGGAGGCGGCGGGGGCGCACAGCCCAAGGGGAGAGCGACACACGTGACTCCTCCTCCTCCCTCAACCTCCTGCTCCTCCTCCTCCTCCTCCTCCTCCTCCTCCTCCTCCTCCTCCTCCTCCTCCGCCTCCTCCGCCTCCTCCTCCTCCTCCGCCTCCCAGAGGCGCCGATGGCCCAGGCCCTCGGCGAGGCTCCCCCGCGAGTGCGTGCAGCGCCCGTCCCTGGGCCGCTCGCCCCTACTTGCCGTCGCTCGGACGTTCATTTCCCGTTGCATTTTTCGGTTTCGCGCGTGTTTTTTTTACTCGATGGTCCAGGATGGTCCTCGATGGTTCTCGCCGAGAAAAAAATGCACACGTCCGAGCGATGCCAAGCCTATGCATCGTCGACTCCGAGGGGCCGCGAGGGGGGTCCGCGCGAGGCTGCGGCGGCTCTGGCCTCCAGCGGCCAGCTGAGGCCCGGGGGCCCCAGCGCCCAGCTGCCAGAGTTGCCGCGGCGCTGCACCAGCACCTCCGAGCGGGCGCGCGCGCGCGGGCGCGAGCTCGCAGCACGGGAGGGGGCGGGGACGCCCTCCCTCGAGGGCAGCTGGAGCGCCGCGCTGGGCCCGCGGTGCCGAGGAGCGCTTCCGCCTCTGCAGCCGAGGCGCCTCTGAGCCTCTGGTGCTGCTGGAGGGCCTCACATTGGAACGCACGACCTCCTCTCGGAGGCGTGAGCCCGACCCGAACACGTAATTAGCACAACCATCTTAAATGAGTATCGATTAACCGATCCCCATCCCCAGCGGCGTGGCCTGGGCCCCACTGGCCGATGTGCCCCCCTAGATGGGGACACGGGTCGCTCCCCTCGGGTTTCGGGTCTCGAGGGGCGTGTCCCCAACTGGGGTGGCAATTAATATAGTGGGGGCCTCGAAGGGGGATGAGGATGGGGATGGGGACGAGGATCGGTTGAGCGATGTCCTTCCCCGAGAGACGCAGCCAGCGAGCGCCCGCCACAGGGCTTACGCTGGAGGAGCTCTCGGCGCGCGCGTCGCCCCGGGAGGGGCGGGGGGGGGGGGGGCGGACACAGAGCGTCTCGGTACGTCTGGGTGACGCCGAGGAGATGCTCGACCTCGTCCAAAGGGGCTGTCCGTCGTCACCCTCGGGCCGCGGGAGGAGGAGGAGGAGGAGGAGGAGGAGGAGGAGGAGGACTTCATTCAAAGGGCTTTCCGTCGTCACCCTCGTTGTGTTGATCCCGTCGCACTTGAGGACCACATCCCGTTCATCATTCCGTGCACTCAGACAAAAATCGAAGCGGTGTCGAACGAGCATCGCCTCCCGGGGCCGGGCACGTGAGAACCCTCCAGTTTCGGTAGTTTCCTGGTGCTCGGAATTCTGTCTCGTGGTCAAGGCTAAAGTAGGTTGGAGCATCCCCTCGGCCTCTGGGGGGGAGGAGGAGGAGGAGGAGGAGGAGGAGGAGGAGGAGGAGGAGGAGGAGGAGGCGGAGGAAGACGGGCGCCGCGGCGGAGCGCGGGGGCGCATCCGCCTCACACAGACGCAAGAGCTTCTCTGATGGAGGGCGGGTCTTTCTCACAGTGTGGCTCCCGCCTCAGCAAAGCGCGCACTCGTGTTCTTGTCTGCTTTCTCGGGAGCGGCCAAGAGGGGGGTGTCCAAGAGGGGGGGGGGGGGGGGGGGCAAATCATGACCGGTGGCATGTGCGCGGCCCAGCGGGGGGGCCAGGGACGTAATGAATTAAGAAGAGGCGCCATGACATCTGGGGAAATATCATGCCCCACGCCATGATATCCACCCCCCCCTAGTCATCACCCCCCTCTTTTCCGGCCCCGACTTTCGTCGCTTTCATGGAAAATAACAAGACCTTCGCGGACTGCGGGACACGGGTGCTGGACCGCGGGGCGACATTCCTCCCGGGCCGCTTTCTGACGGCCCCGGGGGGCGCCTGGCGGGCCCCGCGGAGGGCCCGACGGCGGCGAGACACCGTGGGACCCGCCTCCCTGCAGGACCCGCGCCTCCTCGCCTGAGACGAAGCCAGGACGAGGACAGCATCGGGTCGGGATGCAGCGAGAATCTCTGAGCTCCGGCGGCTCTGTCGGATCTCTCGGGCGACCCGCGGCCGTCTCAGAGCGCTCCGAGAGCTTTCTGGAGCGCTCTGGAACGGAGTTGTCCCTAGGACACCCCCAAAAAGAAGGGGCCTCTAGAACGCCCCCCAAAAGCCACACAAATCCCCACACACATCCCACAAGGAGCTCTTCAGGATGCCCCCTCCGCAGCACTTCGATGTGTTCCTTGCCTTACCTTGCTGTGCCTTGCCTCATCTCACCTTCGTCCACACGAAACCTGCGAGTCGACCGTCCTCGCCACAGAGGAGGGGCCCGGAGGAGGACGGAAGGGGAGGTCTGCTACGGCGGCCGGCTAAGCTTCGGCCACATCTTCTTCCAGAAAACTCCCCGTGCCGAAACTCTGGAGAACACAAGAAAACTCGCACCCGGAATTGCCGAGACTCTGGACGCCGTGGGCACGAAGAAACAAATCGACGCCTCAAGCTGTCATAGGATGCGTTTGCGCCACGGTTTCGACGAGAATCCACCCGTCGCGACGAAGAATCCCGCGGATGCCCCAAACGAGCGAGAACCATCCAAAAATCAAGAGCGCCGATTCTCGAACCTCTGCCCTTGGCACCCATGAAAGAAAACCGCATAAACAAAAACTGTTGGAGTCTCCGCGCGGATGTCTTTGATCTGCGTTGAAGCACCCTCCCTGCCGCGCTCCGCGCGCCGGGTGCGGCGGCGCAGGCGCCGTCAAGGGGGCCAAACTCAGATCCAAGGCATCCGCGCAAAGCCTCCAGCAATTTTTGCTTGTGCAACTTATCTTCCTGTGGGTGCCAAGGACCGAGGTTCGAGGATTGTTGGCGGCGCTCACAAGGGGGTGGAGGAAGGGGGAGGGCTTCTTAGAACGAGGCTGCTTCTTAGAAGGCGCCGGCCTTACATCTATAGACAAGGCCCGCGCCTTCGAGGAAGCAGGGGAGCTTCTGAGAAGCCCTCCCCCCTCCCTCCACCCCCCCTCTGCGCGCGTGGCCGAGATCGGCATTCGATAAGGTTGGCGTTTACGCAAACTACCGTGGTTCGATTGGGCGCCCGAGTTCTCCGGGGTAACTCGGGTCCGGGATAACTCGGGCTTGGACTCCCGAAAAAGGAACCCGAGTTAGCCCTGACCCGAGTTACCCCTGATGATGTGGGGCTCTGGACGCCCGAGTTATCCGGGGTAACTCGGGTCCGGGGTAAGTCGGGTTCGGATCCCCGAAAAAGGAACCCGAGTTAGCCCTGACCCGGGTTACCCCTGATGATTCGGGGCTCTGAACTGCTGTGGTTCGAGCCCCCGGTGGCTCCGCGCGGCGCCGCCTTGAACGAGGCCCAGGGGTCGCCCTCGGCCTTCCGGTACCACGCGTGCAGGCCGACGGTCCGGGCTCCGCCGGCCCTGCCGGGGCCGAGGGGGGGAGGGGCGGGCCAGGAGAGGAGGAGGGCCGGGAACGCCAGGGGAGGGGAGGTGACCCAGAGGGCTAGGATCGGGATAAATCGCTCCAGAGCGTTCCGGAGCGCTCTCAGAGCGTTCCGGAACGCTCTGGAGCGGCCGCGGCGCCCGATACATCCTCTCAACCCGCCGATTCTCAGAGATTTCGAGTTATCCCGATCCGATTTTGTCCCGATCTTCGCGTCGTTTGAGATCCGACGTCCTTGCTTTCTTTTAGAGAGGCGGGGTCCCCAAAAGTCGCGGCCCACTCTCCAGGACCGGTTTTTCATCCTGAGACGCCGTGGACGGTCTCGGGGCCCGGTAGTAAAGGAGCCCTGGGACGCACAAGTAAATACATACAACTCCCTGGATTCCCCATCCTTTTTTACATGCTGGAGATTTTCGTCTTCCCCCCCACTCCCCATATTTTCCTATACTTTCTGGGGGATTGGCGATTACTTGTGTCTGTGTGTCTTTTCCCCTCCTGAGAGAAGGGCCCCTGGAGGCGGGACGAGACGAGACGCGACGCGCGCGCCCGCCCGCAGGCTCAGGAGCGGCGCAGGCGGGCCAGGGCCCAGTCAGAGGTGCGCGTGAACCAAGGCAAGCCTCCTCTCACTGCACCGACCTGGCAGACGTGCTGCAGCGGATGCTTGCGTGGACTTCTGCCAGTGCAGAACCCCGAAGCAGCCAGTGAAAAACGAGGTGAAGTTCGCGTGGATTTGTTTGTGCTTCCTTCCTCGCCAAGCAACAATCCGCACGGCATTCACCTCGACATCCGGAACGACATTCTCCAGGACAAGCCGGGCCCATCCGATCGTTTTCCGAGAGAAATCCGCTCTGCGATGTCGGCGCCATGACTTCTCCAAACTGTTCCACGACGTCCGGTCTCCAGCAGCATCCAGCCACGCCATGTCAGTATCGTGATTCATGGTGGATCGTACAACTGGTGACATGTCGTCGCTCCACCTCTTTCGCTGCCCTCCGTGTCCGCGATCATCGCTGGTCTGGCATCGTGGACACCAGGCCCCCGCGATGCAGCAACGCTGGTCCATCTGTGGAATTGTGCTGCGACTCGCCTCTGCCCATCGCCATGCACGTTCGTGTCAGAGGGCCGCCCAGTCGTCCACTTTTTGAAGCGTGTCGCTAGACCTGCAGCTGCGCGGGTAGCTCGGCGAATGAAATGCCCCCACGGTTCTAGGTCGGAGTCGTCTTCGACGACGTCGCGGTGAGTTTGTGTTTTGTTTCTGCTACGATTGAGTGCAAGGCTGGGAGGGATCCATGCGACACGCGTGCGATTCCACTCTCTGGCCGTCTCCTTTGTCGCTGCTGGCTGCAGCTGCTTCGGGGGGAGTCCCCGCCTGCGTGGAAAGAGCCACTGCACGGAAGCTCCAAACGTTGCCCTTCCCCGGGAGAGCCCAAGCAATCTTCCTCCCCAGCTCCGCTCCCTCAGCCCCCCGCCCTCACCTCCACTCCCCCTTTCCACCCTCCCATCCCAGCCCCTTCGAGGCTGTTCTTTTTCATGGGCGGTAACACGTGTTACGTCGGGGGGGGAAGGGGGGGAGGTGACGGTAACGGCGGCCGCCGCGGCGAGTGCTAGTACCAATACGAGTACTCGTACTAGCACGAGTACGAGCAGTACGAGTAGTACTAGTAGTACTACTAATACTAGTCGTGCTACTAGGACTGGCTAGTAGTACTAATAACTCTAGTAGTGCTGGTAATACGGGTAATACTAAAAGTGCGAGTGCTACTAGTCGTACTAGTAATACTGCTGGAAGTAGCAGTAGGGAAACCCTCCAGCACGTTCATTCCCTCTCCTCCCCACCCTGGCCTCCGCCGCCTGCCCTCCTCCCCGTCCTCTCCGAGCCTCCTTGCCCTCCCCTGCCTTTTCCCCCCTGCGTTCCCTCCCCCCGTCCAGGAAGGTCTGCCCCCGCCCCGCGCCTCTCGATCAGGTGGGGCACCGGCTCGGAGAGCGACTGGTCGCCGAAGGCAAGCTCCTCCCATGCCCTCCCTTGGCGCACGATCGACGTCGTAACTCCTCCTCCTCCTCCTCCTCCTCCTCCTCCTCCCTCCTCCTCCTCCTCCTCCTCCCCCCCTCCTCCTCCTCCTCCTCCTCCCCCTCCTCCTCCTTCCCCTCCTCCTCCTCCTCCCCCGCCTGGTCGATCGAGGATCGACGATCGAGGCCCTCGGGTCGAGCGCTCGGGGGTCGAGGCCCGCAGGCCCGCGGGGCTCCCGCGCGCGAGAGGCGGCGCACCCTGCGCTGGCGACGTCTGCGGGTCTGAGGTCGGGCCGGTCCCCCCTACATTGAGGGATGAAAAAACGGCCCTACCCTGGGTTACAAGTGCGTGGTCTGTAAACCTCCTGGGAGCCCCAAAAGCCTAGAGCCGCCAGGACGCGGCACATTACGCAGGGTTTACCCTGTCAGCCCACAGGAGTTTCAGAGCACAGCGCCTCGTAAACCAGGGTAGGGGCGTTGTTTCTGCCCTTGACTACAGGGGGACTCTGGGACGTCTGCAGAGGAGGCCCGCGCCCTCTAGGAAGCAGGGGTGCTCCTGAGGAGGCCTCGCCCCTTCCGCTGCCCCCCCCTCCGCGCGTGGCCGAGGGTCGGATCGCGAGCGGACCGTCCCGCATCGAGCCGCGAGCGGCTCGCCGCGCCTCGAGGAGGAAACAACGCCATGGGATTTTGGACAAAACATAGAAATTACGCTACCGAAGAACCCCACATGCTTAATTCAAATATGATGTGCTTGCTTATGTCTTAAATATATGTGCAATCCTGCGTTCTGAACCCTCGTCGCGAATGTTTCCCTATGTGTCATCCAACGCCATATTGCTTGCCACGCTTTGCGAGCCCGCAACGGATAGGGAGACCACCCCCAGCGCACCCCCCCTGTGGTGTCGAGGAAGTGCCACGCCTGCCACGCTGTGCGAGCCCGAAACGGATAAGGATACCACCCCCAGCGCACTCCCTGTGGTGTCGAGGAAGTGCCACGCCTGCCACGCTTTGCGAGCCCGCAACGGATAGGGAGACCAACCCCAGCGCCCCCCCCCCTGTGGTGTCGAGGAAGTGCCACGCCTGCCACGCTTTGCGAGCCCGCAACGGATCAAGATACCACCCCCAGCGCACCCCCTGTGGTGTCGATGAAGTTCAACGCCTGCCACGTTTTGCGAGCCCGTCAAGGATAGGGAGACCAACCCCAGCGCATCCCCTGTGGTGTCGGGGAAGTGCCGTGCCTGCCACGCTTTGCGAGCTCGCAGCGGATAAGGAGACCATCCCCAGCGCACCCCCTGTGGTGTCGAGGAGATACCACGCCTGCCACGCTTTGCGAGCCCGTCACGGATAAAGATACCACCCACAGCGCAATCCCTGTGGTGCCGAGGAAGTGCCACGCCTGCCACGCTTTGCGAGCCCGAAACGGATAGCGTCCCCACCCACAGCTCCCCCCCCTGTGGTGTCGAGGAAGTGCCACGCCTGCCACGCTTTGCGAGCCCGAAACGGATAGCGTCCCCACCCACAGCTCCCCCCCTGTGGTGTCGAGGAAGTGCCCCACGCTTTGCGAGCCCGAAACGGATAGCGTCCCCACCCACAGCTCCCCCCCTGTGGTGTCGAGGAAGTGCCACGCCTGCCACGCTTTGCGAGCCCGAAACGGATAGCGTCCCCACCCACAGCTCCCCCCCTGTGGTGTCGAGGAAGTGCCACGCCTGCCACGCTTTGCGAGCCCGAAACGGATAGCGTCCCCACCCACAGCTCCCCCCTGTGGTGTCGAGGAAGTGCCACGCCTGCCACGCTTTGCGAGCCCGAAACGGATAGCGTCCCCACCCACAGCTCCCCCCCTGTGGTGTCGAGGAAGTGCCACGCCTGCCACGCTTTGCGAGCCCGAAACGGATAGCGTCCCCACCCACAGCTCCCCCCCTGTGGTGTCGAGGAAGTGCCACGCCTGCCGCGCTTTGCGAGCCCGTCACGGATAAAGATACCACCCACAGCGCAATCCCTGTGGTGCCGAGGAAGTGCCACGCCAGCCCGAAACGGATAGCGTCCCCACCCACAGCTCCCTCCCTGTGGTGTCGAGGAAGTGCCACGCCTGCCACGCTTTGCGAGCCCCAAACGCGTCCCCACGCTCCCCCCTGTGGTGTCGAGGAAGTGCCACGCCTGCCACGCTTTGCGAGCCCGAAACGGATAGCGTCCCCACCCACAGCTCCCCCCTGTGGTGTCGAGGAAGTGCCACGCCTGCCACGCTTTGCGAGCCCGAAACGGATAGCGTCCCCACCCACAGCTCCCCCCCTGTGGTGTCGAGGAAGTGCCACGCCTGCCACGCTTTGCGAGCCCGAAACGGATAGCGTCCCCACCCACAGCTCCCCCCCTGTGGTGTCGAGGAAGTGCCACGCCTGCCACGCTTTGCGAGCCCGAAACGGATAGCGTCCCCACCCACAGCTCCCCCCCTGTGGTGTCGAGGAAGTGCCACGCCTGCCACGCTTTGCGAGCCCGAAACGGATAGCGTCCCCACCCACCGCCATCCCCCTGTGGTGTCGAGGAAGTGCCACGCCTGCCACGCTTTGCGAGCCCGAAACGGATAGCGTCCCCACCCACAGCTCCGCCCCTGTGGTGTCGAGGAAGTGCCACGCCTGCAACGCCCTGGGCCCCCAGTGGTGCCGAGAAAATGCAGCGCCTGCCACGCTCTGCGAGCGTGTCAAGCTGAGCTGAGCTGTGCTGTGCTGTGCTGTGCTGAGCCGTGCTGGGCTGTGCTGAGCTGTGCTGAGCTGAGCCGAGCTGTGCTGTGCTGAGCTGAGCTGTGCTGTGCTGTGCTGCGCTGTGCTGTGTGCTGAGCTGAGCTGAGCTGTGTGCTGTGCTGAGCTGAGCTGAGCTGAGCTGAGCTGTGCTGTGCTGTGCTGTGCTGTGCTGTGATGTACGAAGAGTGAGGTGTGTGTGTGTGTGAGTGTCGCGGGTGCGGCGCGGCAGGGAAGAAAACCATAACCCCACGAAGCATGTGGGGAAATAGTTGGAAAACAATTCCAAAAAAGAAAAGGAGATAGAACATCGGATTCGAAGAATGAAAAACACGTAAACATAAACTTTTGGAGCTCAGGCGATTTCTTGGATCCGCGCTGGACCCCCCTCCCTGGCGCGCGAAGCGCGCCAGGGGCGGCGCTGGAGGCACCACCGGGGGGCCCAGGCGCGGGTCCAAGAAATCCGCGCGGAGCGCCAAAAGTTTATGTTTATGTGTTTTTGTCTTCGTCGACAGATGGTGCCCATTGCTGCTGGTGGTAGACCACAGGCGCCACGTGGTTGACACGCGTCTTGCTGCTGTTGCTGCGGAAATCTACGAGTTGCCAGGGCCAGGCTGCGATGTGCACCTCCTTGCTGTCTACCTCTGCCATTGGTACGACGACTGCCACTACACTCACCGCCGCTACCATTGACAATACGCCAGCCACGCCCATTGACACCGCCAATGCTACTGCTGATGCTGCCACTGCTATCGTTGCCACTACCGCCACGAATACACCTGCAAGCATCACCAGCACCACCGCTATCAGCATCTGCCCCTGCGCCCCTGGCACGCAATGGAAAGGCACAAGGCGCCTACGGCAGGATTGTGGCGTGCCGACCCCGGCGTCGGCTCCGGACACCGCGGGGGTCCTTCAACCTGGAACGAGCGGCCGTTTCCGAGATGTCAGACCGTTTACAGCAGGGGCCCGCCCACAAGACACCCTCCACAAGGAACCCAGCCCTGAGACCCCAGGGCGTCCGTTGGCTTCTGGCGTGGAGACGTCACGCTCTCCATCGCAGAACCATCGAAACCGAAGAAACCCGGGGCACCCTGGTGGCGAGCAGGGCGTTTCTTGGCATAGGTCTCCACTGCAACATCGGCCGACTCTGGGTCGCCGGCGGCGCTCAGAGCGGAACGCTAAGCGGCGGGGTCGCCGCCACTCGACGCGACGCGAGCCTGCCGTGTGCTGCCCGACTGGGCTCCTGCGGGTTTCTGGGGAGGCCCTGCTCCCTGCGTGCAGCCGCGCGCACCGCCCGCTCACGAGGGCCCATACAGCCACGAGCACACCGCCACCGCTGGCAGCATCTGCCTCTGCACCCCCAGCATGCAGCAAGAGGTGCCTGTGTTGTCTGGCTGGGTTTCTGCGCAGGTTTCTCGAGGGGCCTGCTCCTGGCGTGCAGCCGCGCGCACCGCCCTGTCTCAAGAGACCTCCTGCGCGTCCCGACGCCCCGCATGGCGACCCCCAACGCCCTTTCAGGATATACCGAAAACGGCTTTCGAGACGGCCCAACGAGGCCACCAAGGAAGTACGGATGGCCCAAGACTGCCACAAGAAGAAGGCCCAACGGATCCCAACGGAGTCCCCCGAGAGTCTCGCCGGTCGCAAGACGTGGGCAGAAACATGAGGTAGGAAGGCGGATGATGTAGATGAGGGGGGGCCGTGCGCGCCCGAAGAGCATCCAAGAGCAGCAAGAGCACATCGACTCTTGAAGCAAGAAGGCGCTTCAAAGCAGATTTGGATCTGGGAGCTGGAGGTTGCCAGGGGGCCTGAACTGGTTGGGCCCGGAGAACATCGGTCATCGGGGGCGCGCAAATATGGATTAGCGATCCATGGATTTGGCGCGCGGTCGCCAAATCCATGGATCGGGAGAGGTGCCCTCCCCAAAATGCGGCCGGTGCCGCCTCGACCGGCGGCGGAAATCCGCGATTTCCCACGGGAGCGGGACCCGTCGCTAACCCATGCCCCTTGATCCATGCTTTCGATCGCTTGACCAACAGGGGAGACTGGGGGGTACGGGGAGGGGGGACGGCATCTCAGAAGGAGGCTGCTTCTTAGAAGGCGCTGGCCTTACATCTACTGACAAGGCCCGCGCCTTCTAAGAAGCAAGGGTGCTTCTAAGAAGCCTTCCTCCCTCCCCCTACCCCCCTCTGGAGGCGCAAGAAAATCAGAAAACCTGTCCGAACCTTATGATGTTCCAACCTACTTTAGCCTTGATCACCAGAAATAATTCCGAGCAACAAAAAAATACCGAAACTCAACGGTTTTCACGTGTCCGGCCCTGGGAAAACACTCGTCCGACACAATGTTTCGGTACCCTCGATGGCAAGGATCATCGGCGCCCCTGGATGCATGGATTGCTACCCCTGGGCTGATCGCCTCTTGTCGTCGCCTCCGAGAAAGAAACCCTGCTTTCAACGACCAGCGCGCATTCTCACGAATGCACGAGCAAACGCCCAGCCCGGGTGGAGCATCGCACATTTTCTATGTGGCCATTAAAACATACATGGAACATCACACGTTGTTTATACCTACTGGTGGCCATAAACACGGAACATCACACGCTCTTGATGGCTAGCGGTGGCCATAACAACGGAACGTCACACGTTTTGTTGTATATGGCTACCGGTGGCCGTATAACAACTTGTGGTGCTCCATCGGGTCCAAAAAAAGAAGAAGAGGAACCGGCGTAAACATCAGCTGTTAGCGCTCCCCGCGGATTGCTTGGATCTACACTGAGCAGCCCCCCTGGCGCGCGGAGCACGCCAGGGGCGGCGCCGGAGGCGCCGCTGGGGGGCCCAGCGCGGATCCAAGAAATCTGCGCGGAGCGCCAAGAGGTTGGGTTTATTCAGGTTTTTCGTCCCAGGGGCGGCGAGGAGGCGGACGTCCAAAGGGGGGGCGTAACTCATGGCGGGCGGCATATGCGCGGCCAAGGGTGGGGCCAGGAACACATTGAAACAAGAAGAGATGCCATATAAAATCTGGGGAGATAGCATGGCCCCCGCCATGATATTCACCCCCCCCTCTAGTCATCACCCCCCTCTTGGCCGCCCCCGATCGTCTTCGAGTGAACGATCGCCCAGCGGGGATCTTCTGACCCGGGTCAATCCAGATCTGGGTCAGTCAGGCCTTGCAGGATCCTGCTAATCCTGCAGGATCCTGCACCTGAACCCGGGTCAGTGCGAAGGATCCTGCAAGATCCTGCAGGATCCTGCACCCAAGCCCAGGCCAATGCGACCCTGGCCCTGCAGGATCCTGCTAATCCTGCAAGATCCTGCACCTAAACCCGGGTCAATGCGAAGGATCCTGCAAGATCCTGCAGGATCCTGCACCCAAGCCCAGGCCAATGCGACCCTGGCCCTGCAGGATCCTGCAAAATCCGGCGCTCTGGCTGACCCCCGCCTGCATTGACCCCCATCTTTTGAGAGCCCACGCATCTCCTCAGAGCCGCTCTGCGTCCGCCCGCTCCCCACCGGCCCCCGCCGAGAGTGCGAGAGGCGGACGGAGGAGAAGGAGAAAGAGGAGGAGGAGGAGGAGGAGGAGGAGGAGGAGGAGGAGGAGGAGGAGAGGAGGAGGAGGAGGAGGAGGAGGAGGAGGAGGAGGAGGGATAGGGCACGGAGGTGTGGGGGGGGGGGCGGGGGAGGACAGGGGCAGGGAGGAGGAGAAGGCGCTGGGGCCCGGAGGTCCCCCGAGGCCACGCCGAGCGCGGCCACATTCTCCATACTGTACTTGTCTCGTCTCTGCCATCCTTTTTCTGTCATTCCTCCCTGTCATGCCCGCGATGGTTTCTCGTCCCTCCACACCCATGGCCATGTACGACGATGTTTCGGACCCTGAGGGGCTTAGGCCGCTCAAGCCGAGGCCGACTTTCCCGAAGGAGCTACAGAAGAGTTTCGCAAGGATCGGCTACGCTGCTAGGCGAGGGCAGACGATTCGTGTTCGAGACTGGGCCAACGTCGTCAAGGCCAGCAGGGTGATCAAAACATCGAGAAGTACCGCACCCGGTACGTCATTGTGCAGGTGCCACCAGTTCCCCTGCCACCCGCCCGCCCGCCGGGCGCATAGGAGGATTGCTCGACCGCGCTGGCCGTCAGCAGGGCAAGCAACACCGAGCTGTACCGCACCCAGTACGTGCCCGTGCAGGCGCCACCACCAGCTTTCTCGCCGCCTTCCCACCCGCGAGGCATGTGGGAGGACCGCCCGGCAGAGGTGGCCGCGGTAGGGGCCGACGCGGAGGCAGCGGCAGAAGTGGGGGCCGCGACGGTAGACCCGCCCGTTGCGGAGGCCGCGCCCGCTGCCCAGTCGCCCTCCGCAGCCGACACCTCGGCGGGAACTGACGCGGTGCCAACTGCCGACGCAGGGCCGTCCAGCGACCGCGCGTGGCTCCCGAGCTTAGCGCGCTTGCTTGGACCCGCAGCCGCGCCGCGACGGAGGACGAGCGCGCCATGCGGCAGCGCGGCTGCTTCGACGTCAAAGGCCACCCTGCCCGCGGCGGATCATCACCCCAAGACAGACCAGCCTGGTCGCCCAAAGCCTCGACTGGCTGCAACGCGTTCCGACCCAGAGCTATCGCACCTAAGGGTCCGCTTCGCCCTCCCAGGAGACTACTATCAGTGGGTGGCCCTCTCCCAACCTCCTCCTCCCTCACTGCCCGCCCACTTTCCCACTCTGCTCCTGCTTTCCCTCCTCGTCCTTCCCCTTCCCCTTCCCGCTCGTATGGTTTTGGGTGGGATGGGCGTCTGGAGTTTTCGGGGTGGGGGAGACGGGACGACTGCGCCGGCACAGCGACCAGCGGAGCTGATCGGCCAGCCACCGCACTGCCTGCCGCAACACCGCTCCACCTCCTTACTCTCCCCCCCCGCCGCCACTCCCAGCGAGGCCGCGCCGCGCTGCCTTTGGACTCAGGACGGTGAAGGGACCACCAGAAGCCCCGAGGAACCGAAAGAGCAACAAGAGCAAGCCAACTGCAGCAGAGACCCCGGGAGCCCGACGCGCCTACCAGCCGCCGCCTGCTGCCCTGCCCGCTCGCACCGAGGCCGCGCCCAGCTCTAGAGGGGGGCGGCAGGTTAGGGAGGGTGGACAAGGTGGGAAGACTTCGCTAATGAGCCACAGCGGCCAGCGGAGCTGGCCAGCCAGCCACCGCACTGCCCGCCGCTTCACCGCTCCAGCTTCTACTGCCAGTTCCTTCTGTATTTTCCCGTGTTCTCCCGTTCCAGCCCTGCCTGCAATGCAGACGCAACATCGATACGCGCCCCGTACTCTCGCAGGACTTCTCTCACTGCACAGTTCTGGTGGTCCAGCCCGGAGCTTTTTGCACCTGCGCTTACACCCCTTCGCATCCAGAACACCTGGGCGCTCGTGATACCGCATCTCGCTACGCCTTCACGCGAAGAGCAGACATGCACAGACGGCCCGCCACCCTTTCGTAGCCCAGACTGTACATCCGCACTGCCTCTTCGGAGGGCCGCCGGGGAATAGCGTCAGTTGCTTCGCACGCGGACCCTCGCAAGAGCCCAGTTCAGCCTCTGCACACCTTGGGGCCCCTTTTATGCTTCGGCTCACTGGGAGGGATCTGTGGTTTGGCACAGGGGTGTGGAGGACACATCAACTTCAGCCTTTAGTCGAGCTGGTGCGACTGCTGTCGTAATAGCGAGCATGCTTACTTAATACAACGCCCGCACGCGCCTCATCGTCCCACTTCGTTACATCCGGGCCTGCGCCTCTCCCACCGTCTCAAAACGGCCCACGCGAGGTCGCGTGGCGACTCGCAGAGCCGAAGTGATGTTCAAAGGCGCTTACTGGACACCCTCGCCTTGAGGCGCAACGCAGCCGCCGTCGGGGTCTCGCCTGTACAGGGAGCTCGCTCACCGCGGCCACCCGAAGCCTCACCTGCACGCACGTGTCGATGCCCAACCAAACTGGTGTTTCACCCCCCCCCCCCGCCGCCACCGAGTGGCGCCGCCCTGTACACCCAGCACTATCAGGGCGGGGATGGATTCAGGCCTGCTTCTGCTTCGCCGCGCCGCACTGCCAGGGTTTGTTTTTTTCACCTCACCGACGCGGCTACCGCGTGACAGAGTAAGGGCGGGGTCTGGGGGGGGGGGGGGGCGCAATCATGGAGGATGGGCGCTGGACGGGGACGAACTCGCTTGGAGGTGCCACGAGGCTTCGGCCGACCGCCCCGCTTTTCTCTCCATCGCAGCTGCTCAGCCACATGTTTACTCCCGCTCTCACCTCTGCGTTCCTTCTCCAAGTTTCCCCAACGAGCCTCCCCTCTCATCAAGGTCCTTGCCGGATGGGAGGGGCGGGAAGGGTGTGCATGGCTGCAGGAGCCCCCCTCGACCGCCATGAGAGAGAGCGGGAGGAGGGACGAGAGAGGACGGGGAGCAGGACGGAGGCAAGGAGGAGGAGACAAGGAGGGGGCAGGAGGCGCGGGCCCCGGGCTCCAGCAGGAAGAGCGGGCCGTAGGCGGCCACCTCCCAGCCGCCCAGGCGCCGGCCCGCCTCCGCCACCTGGGGGGGGAAGAGCGCCGGCCCCGAGGCGGAGGCGCCCGGGGAGCGGCGCCTCCTCTGCCGCCGGCCCCCGTGGGCCGCAAGAGGCAGAAAGGCTGCCAAGAGGCGCCACGAGGCCTCTGCTCCTCCTCCTCCTCCTCCTCCTCCTCCTCCTCCTCCTCCTCCTCCTCCTCCTCTCCTCCTCCTCTCCTCCTCCTCCTCCTCCTCCTCCTCCTCTTCCTCCTCCCTTCTCCCTCCTCCCTCCTCCCTCCTCCCTCCTCCCTCTTCCTCCTCCTCCTCCTCCTCCTCCACCACCGCCATAAGTTGGGAGGGGGGAAGGAGGTAAGAACGCTAAAAGGCGGCCTCTGGGGCCCCAAACGGCCCAAGAGGGCCCCGAGAGGAGGGCAACGGGGGAACAGCGAAGGAGCCTCGGTCGGGGGCGCGCAAGCATGGATTAGCGATGCATGGGTTTGGCATGGATTTGGCGCGCGGTCGCCAAATCCATGGAGCGGGGGAGGTGCCCTCCCCCAAATGCGGCAGGTGGCGACTCGCTCGGCGGCGGAGATCCACGATTTCCCATGGGAACGAGACCCGTCGCTAATCCACGCCCCCTTGATCCATGTTTGCGATCGCCTGAACAGAGACATACTGGTACTACATTTAGGTCGGGCCTGTCCCCCTACAGGCGGATTTGGGGCGAATCAAAAATATAAATGCTCATACGTATGCAAAAATGCCAAAGAGTACTAAAAACATGGTCCCCATATGATTGTTTTACTATTTTTGAATATTCCTCCTGTAGAGGGACAGGCCCGACTTCATACTACATGTCCTCCTCGGAGGCGCGCGTCCGACCCGAACATGCAGTCCGGGTGTTGCTAGAGGTGCCCCTGGCCCAAGGTCCCCCCAGGATTTCCACGGAGGCCCCCACGGCCTCCAGCGCACCCCTCACGAGGCCCAGAGGGCCCCAGGGGCTCCAAAATGGAGCCAACAGCTGGGGGCACCTGGGAGAGGGGGCGCACAGAGATATACTGGTGTTACAGTCGTCGTGCTACCAGAAGGGACTCCACAGAAGGAACGAAGGGGCGTCTCTGGACACGGCGGGCCCCAGCAACAAGCAGGCTCCACGACAGAAGCCTGGGGAACGGCCCCGAAACCCAGGCCCCTCCTGAGCCCAAAGCGGTCCCTAATCCAGCGTCTTGACTGCACATGTCCTCCTAGGAGGCGCGCGTGCGACCCGAACATACGGTAGATAGAGGCCCCCAAATAGGGTCGGAGTAGATGGGGTCGGAGCATCGCGCCGCATCGCCGATACATCGGCGATGCATCACCGATGCATCGTCGACGTGGGCGATGCATCGGCGACGGCGACGTGAAGCAAATCGGGCTCTACCTCGAGCCGCATCGCCGATGCATCGTCGATGCGGTACGATCATCCGACCCCATCTGCTCCGACCCCATCTGGGAGGCCAGAGTATACCCCCACCATGTAGTAGAACGTTTCCCAGGCGGTGTGGCCAGAAAGCGCACGCCACGACGCGTATACTACAAGAGTTTTCGGTGCGCGCATCACCCGGGAGGGGCGACGCACGTAAAGTGCAAGTATGTTGGGGGGACGCCGAGGAGAGCCCCAGCGGGAAGGAGCATCCATCCCTCCCCCTGCCTCGCTTTCTTCTCATGCTCCCTCCTCTTTTCCGGCGTTGATAAAAAAATGAAGACTGCGCAGTTTGCGTTCTTCTTCTTCTTCCTTCGCCTCCGCCTCCGCCTCCGCCTCCGCCTCGGCCTCCGCCTCCGCCTCCGCCTCCGCCTCCGCCTCCTCCTCCTCCGCCACCTCCGCCTCCGCCTCCTCCTCCTCCTCCCTCCTCCCTCCTCCCTCCTCCCTCCTCCCTCCTCCCTGTCCTCCTCCCTCCTCCCTCCTCCTCCCCCTCCTCCCTCCTCCCTCCTCCCGCCTCCCGCCTCGCGCCTCCCGCCTCCCGCCTCCCTCCTCCCTCCCTCCTCCCCCTCCTCCCCCTCCTCCCCCTCCCTCCTCCTCCTCCTCCTCCTCCTCCCTCCCTCCCTCCTCCTCCTCCCTCCTCTCCACCTTCTCATCTTCCTCCTCCTTCTCCTCCTCCTCCTCCTTCTCCTGCCCTCCTCCTCCTCCTCCTCCTCCTCCTCCTCCTCCTCCTCCTCCTCCTCCTCCTCCTCCTCCTCCTCCTCCCCTTCACCACGTCCGCCTCCTCCGCCCGTCCCATATTTCATCACGTCCGCCTCCTCCGCCTCATCATCTCTTCATCCCTCCATCCTTCCATCCCCCCGACCCTGCTTCCCTCCCACCGCATGCATCCCTCCCAGAATACATCCATCAAGCCATGAGTACCCTCCTTCTTCTCATCCCTTCTCCTCGTCATCGCTCATCTCTCCCGATATCCTCCTCATAACTCCTCCCTTATCCTCCTCACTCCTCCCTCCCTGTCCCCTCCCTTCCTCCCTACGCCATCCTCCCTTCCTCCTCCCTTGTCCTCCTCCTCCTCCTCCTCCTCCTCATCCTCCTCCTCTTCCAACTCATGATCCTCCCGCCTTTCCCTTCCTGCTCCCCTCCTTCCAGAGAAGGGCGGATGGAGGAGGGACGAGAACACAGGAGGAAGGGGCACCCCCCTGGGGACAACGAGGACGCCACTCATCAAACAAGGATCACTCTGAGGAGACTCGGCGTCGAATGCCAAATCCACGCACAAGCCACCCAGACATGGATTTGGGCCAGGCATGTCCCCCTACAGGCGGATTTTGGCGGAGAAAGAAACATTAAAAGAACAAGAAAAAGCAAGTATGCTGACGGAGTTCCCCACATAAAGATATTAACGGTGTCGTTGGACCCATGGGGTACGACAGCATCAACACGAAGGAAAAGCTCATCGAACGAGTAAGTACGCACGAAAGGGCAGACGAAAGGAGGAGGGAGGACAGGTGCTCAGGAAACGAAGCCTTGTAACTAGTACGGTTTCTTGATACCCTCCTCGCTCTGGCGGGGCCCCGCTGGAAGGGGGGGGGCACGAAACCATGTAAATAGTATGGGTTTCCGATACCCTCCTCGCTCAGGCGGGGCCTCCCTGGAGGGGTGGGAGGGGCACGAAACTATGTAAATAGCATGGGTTTCCGATACCCTCCTCGCTCAGGCGGGGCCTCCCTGGAGGGGTGGGAAGGGCACGAAACCAAGTAAATAGTATGGGTTTCCAATACCCTCCTCGCTCAGGCGGGGCCTCCCTGGAGGGTATGGTATGGTATGGTAGGTATGGTATGGTATGGAATGGTAGGCATGGTATGATATGGGAGGTTGGAATGGCAGGTATGGCATTGATATGGGAAGCGGGAGGCGGGAACGAGAGATAGAGGATGTTCTAGGAAAACGAGAACCCCACTCAGGATGTGGGGACAAATACTCGAAGCATCGTCGCCCGACCTTTTTTTGACTATTTTGGAATACTCGCCCTGTAGAGGAACAGGCCCGACTTAAACCTGGACCACCCAGCGCGGCGCCACCCTCGCCCACGCACTCCAGGCACCGACGGCACACGCCCCGCGCGTCCCGGCCGCCGTCCCCCCCCGCTTTTGCTGGCGCGGTGCGCCGACATGTGAGACGAGCGTGCGCCCCACGGCTCGCCCAGGAGCTGCTCGCAAATGGCCTCGGCACGCCGCGGGGAATTCTCGATCCACCACGGTGGAGGAAGGGGAAGTACGTGACCCCAGGCGCGGCGCAGACGCCTTCCCTTGTCATGGCTACTCGGGGAAAAAGGCACTCGCTTCCCATCCTTTCATTCGTTACCATTGTGATCGCCATGTCAGAAGATTTGCCCCTAGTAGCAATGACAAGCTTCCAGCCTTGGCCAGGAAAGCCTATGCACCGATCTTGGGCCCACGATGGGCCTGGCCAAGGTCGGTGCATGTGCATACTCTTCGTCGCCCGATACGGAAGGCATGTGTTTTTGTTCTCTGACGTTTGCGACTAGGCGCTCGGCTACTAGCCTGACGCGCCCGCTGACGTCTGGCAAGCTCGACCCCTCCTGTCGAGGGGAGCTGCCAACCGAGGCCAGAGCGTGCACATGTCCACCGCCTGGGACAGCGGTTCCCCGAACGTTGGGCGCGAACGAAGGGGGGAAAGAAGGGGGGGCGAGAAATGGGGGGGAGAAACGTACGGCAGGCCCGTGTCGTAAAGATCCCGCGATGGTTTCTGACACCACGCGGATCGTTCAACCTTGAACGATCGGCGGGCGATCGTTCCATGTGGGCCGATTCTGGGCCCCCGGCGGCGTTCAACCTTGAACGCCCGCGGCGGGATCGCCGCCGGCCGACACGACGCGAACCTGCCGTACCCTTTCCGGGCCTTCGAGGCCCCCTTCGGGGCCCTAAAGGCTTCCTTCAGGGTCCCGAAGGGGCCCCTTTCCTGGAGCCCTCGGTGCTCCCCCCCCATCGATCGCCCCCCAGAGTAATGTCAGCCTGCGATTAACAAATCGTGGGAACGTGTTTCAAAAACTAAAAAAATAGATCCCCTCCTCGGGCGAATCGCGGGGTGGCGCCCGCCGGATTGAAAATCGACGGGGCGGCGCCGGTGATTAGCGCCGACGGCCGGCCGCCAACGAGGGGCAAGGATGAGGTGTTTGGAGGCAAGGGCGAGCCAGGGCGCCCGCTTTCTGTCGAACCGATGCGGGCCTGCGGGCAAGGCGGGCTGGACAAAAGTGGAGCGCAAGCAGCTCACGTCGCCGATGTTCCAAGCGCCTCCTGACGCCGAAAGCAGCCATGCGTCGAAACCAGCTCCTCTTCCTCCTCCTCCTCCTCCTCCTCCTCCTCCTCCTCCTCCTCCTCCTCCTGCTCCTCCTCCTCCTCCTCCCTCACCTCCTCCTTTTCCTCGTCCTCCTCCTTCTCCTCCTTCTCCCCCCTCCCCCTCCTCTCTCCTCCTTCCCACTGGCGCTCGTGATAACAAAAAAAAAAAAAAAAAAAAAACGCCCCATGGGGTCCATTCATCAGCCCCGGGGGGGGGGGCCTTGCGT